AATTTGGTGTTCAGCGGTGATTTCTATTAGATATCACAACAGCATAGCACTCAGAAATACAGGGGGGGGATAAATGACTGATGTTTTTGCAGATAATTCAGGTAGTAAGATGAGTGTATGTAGTTTATCTTAATGGAGTACAGACACATGTGCAGGTGCATGTGAGTGAGTTTGTCTGAGTTAAAAGAGACGAGTGCATATGCATATGTAGTAGAGTGTGTGTATGTTTGTTGTTTGTACATCAGTGCTGCCAGGGTTTGTTAGAAATGCTTTAATTTATCACACCTAATTAATTATACTCCAACACCGAGGAGAGTTTTCCTTGTCGCTCAATCGGCTCCTCATTCTGCCTCCCTCTGCCAGGCGACAGGAGGAGAAACCCAGATAAACTCTGCAAGCCTCAAACACGCAGCTTTTTTTTGTGAAGTCTTGCTCTCTTCTCAGGCTGATTGGCCATGCCTGTTTAGCCAGCTCCACATTACCATTTAAATAAAGAGGCCGGCTAAATGACCATTGGTGTAACATAAAAAGAGAAATTAAATTGCTTTGTTGTCTCACGGCACTTTATTCTTTTCTCTTTCTAGCTCAAGCTCCTCATCATTTTTAATATGTTCAGTCTGTGGGAAGGGTTGATAAAAAAGTGTGCAGAGGAATCCAGACGCAAAATGAACTATTCATCTTTGATTACAAGCTAATCTAATCTCTTTAATGGAGAACAATGACTCACAGAGCTGAGCAGACATGAAACAGCTCAGGTATGTTAATTTCCTGAAGAGAATTGATTATTTTAAAGCTAAACAAACAACAAACGAGAGAAATGGCATGACAACCACCGGGCATTAAGTCAGTTTCATACAGACCGGGGATAAATTCAAAGAATTGAACTGCACTGTGAAAGTAGAACAGACAATTAAAAAAGGCCTTTGGGGGCCTCGACTGTTTGTAAAAGTTATCTTAAGCTACAGCAGTCACGAGCTGTGTGCAACGCCCATATAGTGGCACAAAAGCTGGATTTACAGAAAGTGTGAAAATGATTTGATTTCAGAGGTGTGAGATGCACTCTTTCAAAATTCATACTCTTCCTCTCTCGAGCGCTATCTCAATCTGAACACATATTCTTAGATTCAGTGTGAGCTTCACTTCCTGTGAGTGTAATTATAACTCCACAGTGTCAGACTGAACGTATGCCTTGGGTAGAAAAAATGAAAGAAAGAACTAAATGTGTACAGTGATGATGCTTTCCCTTTAAGTTCTGCCTGAGGATCTATGGATGTTAACATTAATGTAGTCAGATCTGTAGCATGCATGACTTAAAACACACGCCGTCATTAAAGAGGTGAGCAGATTGTATCGGACACAGATTGATTGTCCTTGAAATCCTCTTTCAAGAACAAAATTGCTCAGCTTGTAACAACCTTATTTACAACATTAATTCATCATTAAAATACTATTAGGGCAATTACTTGATTTCCATTTTAAACAACACGTCTATGTTGAGTGGGGGATGCAGACGGAGAGGGACATAGAGGTGGAAGGAGGGGAAAGGAGAGAAGTTCAAGTTACGAGAGGCGCCTAAGGAAGCAAGATGAGAGGAGGGAGGAGAGTAGAAGAGAGGATATGTGAGGGGAGGAGAGGTGAGTCAGGAAGAGAGCGGAGGGAGATGAATATTTAGCAGCTGTAGTGATTAGGGTGCTGGTGCAGAGTGGCACTGTGACACTGACATTGGCTGCCATTGGTGGCCCCTGCCATGGTGAGTCACTGGAACCTGCTTCGTTTGGGCCATAATTAGCTTAAATGTTCAGAGAATGAAAAATTCACCATCGCTTTGAATCCTGTTAATTGGGAGAGCCTTCTGCATTAATAGAGGCCATTTGAAGATCTGCGCTTAAGTCAGTGTGTGTGTGTGTGTGTGTGTGTGTGTGTGTGTATGTGCACATACACAGGTATGCATGTCTGCATGTATTTCAAAGCACAGTTTTCCATCCTATTACCGGAGGGGCTGATGGATTCCAAACATTATCCATTTTACCGTTGAGCCACCCTAATAAGCTTCTTAAGAACGATAAGAACATTTGAATAATGCCAACAGCAGAAGATAATTTAACTTCCCAAACCTACCAGCATGTTTTATCATACATACAGTAAAGTGACAATGCAGGGACATGCAGCTGGATGGACATGGGTGGGTACATGTAATGGTACGTAAGTGGCATGGGAAGAAAAGCTTATTTGAGGGGTAATCCATCCATGACTTTAAGGGAGTTGTAGGATAAGTATAAGTAAGGTCCAAATGAGAAAAAAGGCATACTCATCAAACCAAAATACTGTTTAACACTGTGATACTTTTTAACACTGATAAATCTGCATGTTTTTCAATGAGCAAAAAGAGCAGCAGAGGTTACCAGCAGCAGTGAAGGTGGTCTGTCCTGCTCCAAGCAGTTAGAAATTAAGACTACAGTCCATTTATTTCACTACAGTGAGGCTGAGGCCAGGTTTCTATGATGGTGTGAAGCAGTGAACAGAAAAAGCCAGGAAACAGAGAGCAGAGAGTTGAGTTAAGACTTTGAGTTGGTAGCCATGTGCTATTTAGTTTAGTTCAGCCTGGGTGCATGTGCTATATGGAGCGTGCTTCACATTCAGTGATAAAACATACCACTGTTTCTTTTCTGTAAACTCTTTGTGTGTCTATGGTTGTGGAAACAAAATGTGTTACACAGCGGTAACATATGCACTCAGTGCACCCTATCAGAACTTCTGCTTGCAGGAGGCAACAAAGGCTGTTATATTTTCACATTCAAAACAGCAACAATCTCATAAAGAGAAGGCATTAATACCTCCTATTATGTGGCACTGCTGTGTGCACTGTGTCAGCATGACAAGCGAAAGGTGGTCAAGATGAATCAGACAATGTTCCAGGAAGCTCTATAAAAGCACTAAAAGGACTGTATTCATTAGGTGGTTTGTGTGTGACATAAAAACGATCTGTTTTCCTCTATACTGCAGTGTGCGCAGAGGATACACTGTTTATGCGACAGAGCTCATCCCAGTCTGGACCTCAGCTCAGCCCAGCCCAGTTTGACCCAGCCGGGACTAATCCATCATCACCACTACTGAATCATCGCCCTGCCAATAAAGCCAGGCGGCAATACATTACAGGCATGTGGCAGGCTTTAGCGATAATGACATTGAGAAGTCCCCTTGGGCTGCAGGAAAAGCCTGGGCGCATGACACACTTGCTTACAGAGGCAGTAATATATGGAAATGCATCAGAGTGCCAGACAGGGGGGGGGGGGTGAGGAGGAGAGCAGAGCTTAGTGTATTCATTCAGGAAAGACGGAGGAAATGGTCTTCACAGTGACCACTTCCTTTTCAATGTAGACTCAACCAAATCCAGCTTTCAACGATGGGACTCATTTTAGATTCAAGCCTCTGCAAACAAGATGTCTTATAAGCAATCTGACATGTCAACACCCCATTTCTTTCTTATCCAAGTCTCATGCAGCTGAGTTGATACTGCAGTATGGTTTGGACATGGGACATGTTAGATTCAACGCTGCCAATCATCTGCATACAGAGGCAGGCCAGTTAACAAATACATACAGTGAACTGTTGGTCTCTGTTTTCTTGTGGCTGACATTGAGAACAATTTGCCAGTTTGATCCTCTAAACTCCACTGCAGACACAGAAATTCAATTCTAAACACGAAAGACCTGAAACACAAATCAAACACACACATTCAAATCCAGGAATGTAACAGAGAGATCTATAGGGTGACAGAAGTTGACTACAGAGCATTTGAGGATGTAAAGCTGACATCAGATGTGGCATTTATAGACAGTGAGAGCTTACACAGCTACATTATGTATCTGTGCATAAGTGAGGATGAGCTGCCAGAAAAGTAACACCGTAGCTTATCTAACTCTGTCTGCTTGGAAACCTGTCAGTCTTCCCTGTGTCAGATGTTTTAAAAGTAAATCTGTACCATTGTATGGGAAACTCAAAATCTTGTTTAAATCTTTGCATTTAAATTAAAACTTTAACGAGTCACCGTGTGCGGACAAATTTAAATTAGTCTCAGGTCATTAAGGTTTGCCGAAGCTCATTCAGCACACACAGCCATCAATTTGAAAAAGAAAATACTCTCTTGACATTCGTTAAATGGAATTCCAGCGTAAAAAAAAGAACACTTTAAACAGTAGCTTGGTTAGCGCTCCAAGCTATTGACCAGATTTCACCCTGATTTGATGGATTTAAAATATACAGATTGAGGTGAAAATAGCTTCTTTGGATATGAATTTACTACTCGCTCAGAGACCCCTGCAACTTTGGGAAAAATGTTATTAACATTGAACAGTGAGGCATTGTCGCATTGATTTTTTTCTATAGCAACAGGAAATTGGATAGGGAGTTTTGCAGTTTGCTTTGTAATTTCCCCTTGAAGTCCAATGATCATAGTTGGTATGATTAAAAACAAGGCTTTATTCACTCTTTTGTGGAAAGTAGGATGACAAGATATCTTTATCTAGGGGTGGGGTGGCCAACGGGAGGTTAAAGAGGGCTCCCGAACGGCCAACCCACTCCAGGCTGAACTGGCTGGGGGTCATAGAATTTCTGATGTCAGTAGTTGCTGTATGGCGGGTCCTCAGGCGGCCCTCACGCAACATCTGGCCCAGTGCGGAGAGACTTCACCAAATACTTTCAATAATTGAGGGACCCCTCCCGATTCGGAGTGTTCCCTGTTTGTTGTTGACATCTGACTGGCTCATCATGACCGACAGGGCAGCAAGGACATTCACGGCAAGGACGTTTAAATCAAATATTGTAAAGTTAAATCTGGGACATCATTGGAAATATAAAAACTATTTCAAAAAAGGTTATTAAAAAACATAAAACAGACATTTCTAGAGTAGCCTTATTGGCATTCAGTTTAAACATGAGTCTTGTCTTGTTTGTTTCTTTATAACACGAGGCAGGAGACACAAAAAAAAGACAACAAGGGGTTTGTGCTGATAGAATAAAAGTCTGGATTTATTTCTTTTTTTATCTACACATTAAACAGGTGTTCCTGAATGCAGCAAGAGAAAACACAGAACAGGATGCTAAGCGTCAAAGAGTTTGTTCGCATAGCAGAGGTGTGGCCGGTTTAGCAAAGACATAAACACTCTCTATCCCATATACTTATAACATCTTCCGTAAATGTACAGTTGCCTCTGGGAGGCTAAAGTAGGGTGAGGGAGTTTTTACTGCAATTCTGTTCACATTATCCGACTAACTGGAAATACTCCATACAGTAACAACCCTGTCTTTCCCTAATGCAATGCAGTTATAACTGTTATAAACACAAGCAGCCCCGTATAGTTCAGTTTAATTCAGCTTTGTGAGTATGAAAACATTTTTATAGTTCTGTACTGATTTGTCATGTCGCCATTGTCCACTTCAACTTAATCTTTCTAGATACATTCAAAGGTTTGAACGCTTCCCGGTTATCTCCTCCTGGTTTGCCCCTCACCCAACAGTGATGTGGTGCCAGGTGATTACAACTCAACACCTGCATAGGTATTCAATTACACACAAAACTCTCTGGGTCGACTCCCTGGACCAGAGCAAAGCTTAAAATTGAACCATTATTTAACAGTCCAACGAATGGCTTAAGTGCTTCCATGAAACCAACCGCTGTGTATTTGAACACACACATAGCTCACTGTAGAGAGGAGCTCCCCAGCACATAACATGTTCACTGACACGGTCAGAGTAAAACAAATACATACTAACAACTTAAGCTACTTCCAACATTTGATGCAGTAAAGATTCCATTGGTGTCACTGTGTCGGGAGAAAATAAAATGCACTTTCTGTATCATGGTGCCCAATTCTGACTCAGTGTGCTGTTGTACAAAACTTAGCTCAAAACAAGTCAATCCTTAACAAATTGCTACTGTAATTACAATGTACTACATCAACATGAGGATTGCATTTGATTTTTTTTAAACAGTGGAGGGAAAAGTTATACATCAGTGAATCACAGATTAAAGAGGTAACAAGATTGAATCAATCATTCCAACACTGACATGTGAAACAGCCCATAACAGTCCTCATAACTCAAGATTCAGAGATCAACATTTGATTTTTACCGTCAGTTTCGACACTAATACAAGTAAGTGAGTCATTGCCAGAATACTGATGCTGGTATTGGCCCTTACACCGACACTGATACCAATTAGCCCTCAGGTAAATTATCATAGGATAGGATAGGATAGTACTTTATTGATCCCCAGAGGGGAAATTCGGGAAACAAAAATAACACTATGGTCCTAGCAGAGAGGGTATTCTTAGTCAAAGCCAGTAAAATGTCAATGATCAATGTTTTTCCATCAGTACTGTGAGTACTTCTTTCATCACTTTAGTATCAGAGGAGTACTCTGTATTGGCCAATACTCAATTCTTGGTATCAGAATCGGTATACAGTTGGAAAAAATGGTATTGGAACATCTCTAAAGTCTTGACTCATTCCCAATATAACTTTTATTCAACCGTATTTTGTAACGATAAAAAGAACTACCAATGGAATCCTGCTTCCCTAAAAAAAATAACAGGACTAAACAAAACATGGTTTTGCTGAGAAACTCATCTACTGTAACAAGAGCCCAGTCCAACTGAGATTTCCTATTTGACAATCTGGCATGCAACCAGTGAACAGTGTTATCCTTGATATTTATTGGTCGTCTGAGTTTGATATAATAACCATGTACTATTTATAGTGAAACCTGATCTAACCAGTAAAAATGCATATTTCTGAGAATACACTGCAACAATGTAATATCGGTAGACAACAGGTGCTAGAAGCAGATGCATCCATTGAAAATCAGCAAGTTCTGAGGTACTTCTGAAAATCACAGCTGAGGATATAATAACTATCTACAATATTTGGATGGATAGCATATAGTCGATACAGTAATAGCAGGTTTATCATTGAGCGAAACATTTTGGCTTACAATTTGATTAGCTGAGGGGATAGTGGCGGTTGACACACCTGAATAAAACATAGCTGTATGAGGATAAAAACATAGAAAAACAGCACCATTTGAGGTCCGAAAGACAGATCAGCTTTTGAACTGTTTGCTGGTAGCACCGTCAACCAGTAAAAATCTCAGAATGCAATACAGAGACAGAACACAACCACTGATAAACTGCACGACATAGCAAAGAGCGAAGATATATATTCAGAGACGACCCCTCACACAGACACCTCTTCAGAGCAGCATTTTTAAGCAGGTAATAAAACTGATTTCTCCTAAGAATGATATCGTGTACTGAGGTGTTTTACAAGTTTTATATGCTGTACATGTTGAGAGTAACCAGGTATAATTTTCCTATATTTTTTCAATACACACACATAGTTTACAGTCACTGACAAACAAACACCAGAGTAACAATGAGGTAGGACGGTGAAGTTAGATGAAGTAGAACCGGTTTGTGGATTGTATACAAAGTTACTGATACCTTAAGAAAAATATAGGCCCAACAAAGTGTACTCCAGTTTTTTTTCTCATTTGAAGTAAGTTTGACATTGTATCTGAGGCTCAGAGAGTTTGTTGTTTTGTGTACATTTAGTTGTGAAAACTGCAGGTTGAAACCATTTATCTTGTTCCACACGGTGAAGTTAGAGCCGATCGCTTTATCCAAAATCAAAGTGTCAAAAAGCAACATAAAGCTCCCTCACTTCTGAAACTTTGACAGGTGTTCACAACATAAGCCAAAACACCAAGCTAGCAAAAGGATTTGCTTTTATCTTGATTAATTTGCATTTTGAAATCCAGTCTATATGTCGGGGGAGTGAGGAATTAAAGGTGGCACAGGAAGAGGATCACAGAGCCAGAGAGGTTAGTTTCCTCCTTATCGCTACTTGAGTGTGACAGTGAGAGTACTGGAAGGTCTGGTGTGGTGTTGCAGAACCAAGCTAGCCTATACCGTCCTGTAATGGCTCTAAAATGCAGCTTAAACCCTACTGCAAGTGACTTTGGACATTTGACAAAGATTGGCCTTGCAATCACAGATTAAGCCAAATCTGGGTTAAAAACATACAGTACTTCCATACAGCTTTTCATCCACTAAAGATGGTTTCAGTTAAAGGATTAGGCTTAATCGCACTCCAGGAAACCAGCCTTATGAAATAAATTCACATTTCAGATGATGTAATAGATCTGTTAATGCTCTATCTCAAAGCATGAATTTGACCACACACCCTTTTGGCATCAAACAACAAAGAAACAAACACAAACACATCACACAACAATGTATCAGAATTTCAGCATGGTTACTTTGCACAGCAGAAATCTTTTCTTTCTTTTAGCACACATTAACCTCACATGTTGCTCTGTACAAGAAACACAAAAACAAATCTTGAGCTGAAAAGGGGATTTTTTTGGAACCAAAAATATTAATATGTCACCATTTTAAGTGACTTAAGATCCGCTAAGCTCTATCAACCTTGGCAATTTGCCAATTTTGTGCAAACCCTGCTGATTCCTCATTCAGCACGCCCTCTTCTTTAGCTTGATCTCAGCCTTCAATACTTTGGCTTATAATTACCACTCACTCGTAAAAATACACATCATCTCTATATAAGTCATAACAATACATAACCAGCATCTTCACACATTAAGTTAAAGCACATATTCCAGTCAGCTTGCACATTTCATAGTTACATATCTTTATAATGATTTATGTTTTGGCCTCTACAGCCAAGAAGAGTTTTTATACTAAAGCTTGTAAATCTGCCAGGTAAGTCTTTTATTGTTCAGGAAGCCATAATGGCCGAAGTTATCTATCCAGATTTTAAAAATATGGAAGTAGTAGTATAACTATTTCTGACAAATAGCTGTGAGTATTGAATCTTAACTTATTTTTAGGACTGGCATGTCAGGGGGTTTATCTGACAGACCAAATAAAAACCATAACTTGTTCTCGTCAGAAAAAAACAACAATAAAATCAAAGTTTTCTAAGGTGCTTCATGTTAATACAATTATTTTTTAGGCCTTAATCTATATAGACATTTGAAAAAGGATGTATACCACAAATACATTTCTTTAAGATTGAAGAATTGCCAAGAACTTTAAAGTGCATTCAATGTCAATAATTTGTGTCAATCTAACTACTGCGTCTCAATGTCTACAGTATAACAGTTCCAGGATACAGATATTCATAAAACTGTGGCAGATCATAAGAAGGTAGATTCTAAGGTGAGGTTTATCATATATCACATGTTGTGAATGTGGTATAAAATATGGGCTTTTTCAAATCTGAATCTAAATACGCTTTGTTACTCTTGTTCCAAGAGATGACTTTGGCTATCAAAGAGAGATAGTTTGTTTTTTCTTTTTTTGTAGATTCTACTTCTCTACATTTGGATACAACATCAAGCTTAAAGCCAACGACTCGTATGAAAAAAGTATATAAAGAAACAAAAGAAAATGTCAGGTAACATGGAATCACAACATCAATTAGATCAACCAAAACTCGACCAGAACCTTTAAAACTGTAACATGAAAAAGTGAAATGTGTGTTTGGTGGAAAAATAAAAAAGATGTTTTTTTTATATACACTAAAATATCTCCAAAACAAAAGGTAGCTTAACAAAAGGCTTATCTGAACTTTTGAAATAAAGAAAAAAAAAACTGACAGACAAAAAAAGTGGAAAGAAACAAACCAACCGAAACACAAGAATCTATAGTCTGAGGAGGAGAGGCTTGATGGGCAGCTCTGCAGCAGATTCACAGTTAGCCACAGCTAGGTCACAGTTGAGATTTTTAATCTGCAGCATTTAGTTCCAGCCTGCAGACAGCCGCACCAACCATTTGGATCAAAACAATAAACAAGTTCAGAGACAAAAATAACATACAAGAGAGAGAGAGGACCTCTTCAAAGTTCTGATGGCATAGCTCAAAAGAAATTGTCACTGGAGTGACTCTACTTTGTTCCCCAGTGGATGTCTTAAAAAAAATGGGGTTATTACGGGGGTTCAGCAGGCCCGGAAGTGTGTCAGACATCACAGAGTGTCAGACAGCTTTACCCACAGCAAACACTACTTCCACAACTGGGTGACCTGAACCAGTCAAAATTTGCACTAATTTTCAACCCCACATCATCTTAATACAGGAGGAGGGGTTGGCAAGTAGCTCGGCTCATCTTATCATGATGGAGTGAATCACACAGCAAAAAGTACCTAACCACCTCTTTTATTCCCACAGCAAAGTGCATGTGAAGCTTCGTCGCTTCAGCTTCCTATACATTTACAATCACAGCCTACTAGAAAACCCACAGGCATACAAGCCCCTGGTGATTGCCAAATCCATATAAGGCCTTTCTAGGCATCAACATGCCTGTACCACTAGAACTAATTCAACAGTCAAACTGTCTGAAAGTGACTCGTTTTATTAAGAGTATCACACAAAAATCCCATCAAAAGTTTTTTTGTGCACTCTCATTGGTGGAAATTGCTTGAACCTAACATAAGAATATAAATATAAATATCAATCTTAAGACTCTACATTAGAGTCATACATCCCATTTAACCTCTGCAAGCCCTCTTTTTAAGAGAACGGCATGTTGTGATTGAGCTACAGTTTAGGGGGAGAATCTCTTGCAGCAACAGAATCTTTGTTGCAAAAAGGAATATGGCTATTACAAATTAAGACTTGTGCATTTGACACCCTGATGTCCCATTCTATGCATTAAGTACCTACTGCAAAGACTCAGCAGTCATAGGGTAGTCACCAAAATATCCAACCGTTCACACAACTGAGCTCTAATGCAAGCTATCAACATCATTTTCTTTATAGCGTTAGAAGATTGTATCCATGGAAATAACCTTACTTTTTAAAAGTTTAAGGACTCAAAATGATGTTCTGACACAGAACAATAAATCAATTTCACAATTACTTCTAATCTCTCCTTTGACACAGATGCACACACGTCAATAAACCATGTCTCTGTACCAATACCCGTTGTAAAGCTTATAAAAACACTCATATCAGCTCACATCAATTTAGTTAAGTGGTGGGTAAAGCTGTCTGTCACCTTATGAAGAAACTGATCACTGGGGACTCTGACGGTTGTTCAGTGGGAGGCTGGAAAAGGGCCTATTGGTTTTAACATTTCAATTAAAAAAAAGAATCAAATGAGTCAACAGAAAAAAAATCTGCTCCTGGAACTTTGACGAACATCCTCCAATCACACACCAAGTCCCCTCAGTATCCTGGGCAGAAGGCGCTGGCGTGACAACCGCTGACCACTACATGCCATCGTAGGTGAAGTTCTCCATCTTGACTGTCTGCCTGATGAGCAGCTTGGACTCCCGCCGCTCCTCGTTCTTGATGGACTTGTTGATGTCCATTATCTTTTCACAAATGTATTTGTTCACTTTGGACAATCTCTGCGTGATCTCTGCACTGTCGGCTGTCTCTTGAGACACTCTGTCGTAGAGACACTCTGAGGAAGGAGCGAGTGTGAGCAGTCAGACTACATTTAGATTAAAAACTGCTCATCTTTATCTTATGTTTGACTTCTAATAAATATCATTCAGTAACTGGAGGCCTGTATAAAAACAACAGTAATTTTTCAGTGCCTGATGTTTGCCAACTTGTCTCAGCTGACTCATCAGTACAGAGAATCATATTTTTCACAAGTTTATCTTACCTCTTACGATTTTCAGTTTGCTTGGCGACAATGGGGGTTTAGGCAGCGCATCTTTTTTCTTTTTGGTGGCTACTCCAGTGACACTACGGTTCTTGAGAGTTTCTGTGCCCCAGATCATGACAGCCAGGTTCTTTGTGAACTTGGAGTCTCCCTGGGTCCGTTGCAGCTGGTGCCACTTCTCCTCCTCCACCCAGATTCCTCCACCAAGGTGGACCTGCAGAAAGGACCGAGGCAGAACAGATCTACAATTAAAATTGTTCATGTACATTCTTATTGGAGAAAGAATACATAGTATGTGTTGTATTCAGCACATTGGAAGACAAAACTATTTTTCTTAATTAAGTTCAGGTTACATCAACAGAACTTAAATGTTGACACTCAAAAGCACACAATACAACTAGAGGAGAAGAAAAAAACTCAGACTTTATCTGGCATCAAAGTTGGAAATGTATGATTAAACCTGAGAGCATCACATAGAAAACAACAGATTTACAGGTATAGTAACCTCAATATTTGTCCCAAGGTGACGGTGCTGATCACCCACTTGCATGGGACACTTGTCACTTATCAGCGAGGCCCCAGGTCTTTTGTAAAACCTTCTAAATTTAAATAGACAAGGTGGGTCATGGCTTTTTAAAGGAGAACACAGATGAGCCGGATCTGCTTAGACCAAATTACAAATCCCAAGAAGCACCACTTTCACCACCAAGGATACATAAACAAGCTCAGGCCACTGGCTGCTTGTAGCCTGGATTACCTCCACTATGAACTTAGCTCAGAGCTCTCTACACACTGCCGCTGCACGTTGCATAAGTCTGTACCAATCACTCCAAGCCGATTGCAAGCCTAGGCGGACTGCCCTAGTCTTCTAGGTGAGCAAATGCAGCAGGGGGCATGTGCGACTCCCTTTCCCTTCTCTACTCTCTTATCACTGTAAAGTCTTTAGGCCAGCATCCAAAAGGCTTTTCCCTGTGCAGCTAATGTGCTTTAGGCCTCCAGCCAGCAGACAAGCTTTTTTACTGCCCTCAAGTTAGACAAGATTGTTTTCATCCTCCCTCTCTGTTTCCTCGTTTATCTCTCTCTCCCTCCATCTCTCTTCCTTCTTTACAACCTCTACCCCACTCTGTCTCTCTCACAAGGGCTAACCTGTCAGTCACTTTAAATTCCTCTCGTGCAAATAATTAATATGGGGTCCCTGATGTAGGAGAGTTCTAATTTGCAAGTGTTCTTCACGCTTGAAGTGGTTGAGGCCCCAGAGCTTGTAGTACCAATTCCCCCCCCTGTCATCAGAGACAGGACGCTGGTTGAGTTACAGCGGTGGGGGGGGGGGAGTGAGGAACCCTAACAGGCCAATAAACACTGATGATGCTGGCCGTGCTTGCAGGAACAATAATAATCTTCTCAACCTTGTTTACCTGCTAGGGTAGGGCAGCCAGGGGGGAAACGACTGATCAACTATGACGGCATGTTCCCAGGTTTGTGGGTTTTAAAGAGAAAGGCAGCATTCCCTACAAATGTGGCTAATTCCTATGACCACCCCCAAGGCAGAGAGCCAGGAGAGGCTAGGGGATCAAAGAATCAGGACTGTCACAGGGGGAGAGGGGTCGTAGGGGTGATCTTTAAGAGAAGGTTTAAAATCTCAGTTTGCTATTTTACCATTTGATTGTTATAGTGATATTCATATATTTAAATGTTCATATATTTACTTTAATGACAAATAACCTCAACATTACTAACAAGCCTTTAACAACCACACAAAAAACTTTGAATTATTTGTTGTCTGATGACTATGTTTATGTTTTTATGTGTAATGTCTTAACATAGTCTAATGGCTTGAGGCATTGTCTTGTATTATTATTTTTTGCTTTAATTAAAGGTCACATATTGTGCAAAATACAAAAATATGGTTATAACACTAATATGTGTCCCTAGCCGGTCTACAAGCCTCCGAATTATGAGAAAAGCCCTGCTCTCCGCCTTTTGCCTGCTCCACTTTTCAGAAAACATGTGCTCAAACAGGCCGTTTGGAGATTTTCCCATCTTGACATCACAAAGGGCAGTAACCCCTTCCCCAGGTGGGTCACACTCACACAGCTAGGTGTTTGTTCTGCCCTCTGAGTCTGCCTTCTCACCGTAAACTATGGGGCATGGTGCAAGAAAGCCCAATACCCAAACCGTTCCAGAGGGACGTGGTCAAACACACCTCACCTGCATTTAAAGCTACAGACACAGAAACAGTCTGTTCCGAGCAGGGCTGAAATAGAGGGGTTTATAGACATGATCAAATACAGGATCAGAGTGGATTTTTGGCAAGAAACTTCGTAGACATGTTATAGGGGATCTCTGAGAATTATTTAAACTTGTTGGAAAAAAGGACAATATGTGACCTTTAAAGAATTCATATAAAAAAAAAAAAAGAACAGCAAATAGACCTTGTGGAAGATTAGTAGCAGAAAAAAAAAGGCAAATGATTAGACGAGACGTGACAAAATAGAAGACTTGAAACTTTGGTTTTTAGGTTTTATCAGGGGGAATCACGAGAAGCCAATAACATGAAGAGTCTCTCTTACCTTCCCATCGTTGCAGGTGTATACAGTTCTGGGTGAGGGTGAGTAGCTGGAACTGGTGTTGGCTTCTTCTCTGCATGCCTCCTGGACCTCAACAATGGGTTCAACCACTTCAGCCTTGATTGTCTGAGTTCCATTGTCATGCATAGGCTCTGGAGATACAAAGGAGAAATTTAAAAAAAAAACAAAGCTACAGATATGTCTGTTTGTCAACTTCACAAGGAGAAAGACACTGGAACAACAACAACTAAAGCAACACTTTAAAAAGTTAGCCGTAGCATTCAAATCCCTGTTGTATCAAATAGCATAATTGCTATTAGTTTCCTGGTTTTTACCATTGGATCATTGCCCCTCTGCTTTCTGCCTGCTTACTGCCTTGGGCCCATGCTCCCCAGTGCCTTGAGATAGGCGCTTATTTTGGCAAAGGAACTAAGCAGGCTTGGTGGCCAGCCATGCTAAGCTCCAGTGTAGCTGAAGAGTTGTAATAACGGTCATTGCACTCCATTCCATCCCGACAGCACCACAGGGTGCTCTAATCTATCCATTAGATGGTCTCGCCAGTAGCCAGGCGAATCTGTCCGGATGTCAAAGTGAGGCTAAGGTTAATACCAACATCTGGCAAGCCTTGAGTTTGTACACTACCGGCACTGTAATGACACTACTTTAAAGCTCACTTACAACTGCAGAGTCATACTTGTTAACTTGAGAGAGTTAACTTGTTGTATAGGATACACTTCTGATGCTTGAAACATTCAAATCATATTTCTGTATTAAAATAGCACATGCCCGTTTTGTAACAATTCATTATGTACCTTGTTAGTGTTTAAAAGTGTCTAATTTTAAACACTGAGTTATCTAAAACTCCAGCTGGCAAGTACATATCAAACTTTTTTTCCCATTATTTACAAATCTTCTTAGAGAGCTTGCTCTGGTTAGGAATCACATTTGTTTGGGGGATGTTGAGTTTGGGAAATCTAAAAAAAAAAGGGAAAAAAAGGAAAAATCTAGTAAGAAGTTCTTTTTAACCTTTATTTTACCTCTCTGTCTAAATTAATTCTTCGACAGAACAACAGAGAACTGAACTAATGGTGACCTTCTGTTTTAAGAAGGTCACTTTAATCACTGGTCCAATCTGGCACCAGCAGACGCAGATCAAACTGTAGCACCCAGACTCAAAGTTGATCCATTTGTAACTTTATCTTTGAGTCTTGACTTTATTAGAAAGACACTTCATGCATGTGGATTTCTACCCTTAAAAGATAAAGTCTGAAAAAGAATGACAAGTTGTTCAAGGGCCTTTATCTCAAAACATTTCCCCTGCTGTGCATTGTTTTCCTCTTTCATCATGTTTCAGCAGTTAAAAAAACCCTATATTTGGCATTCATCCCTCTTTTTACCGAGGCCATGCAAGAGATGATTCAAACCAAACTAAAGTAAACCCGTATTATCCAAACAGATATTCTCAACTTATATTAACAGTTTGAGGCCTCTGAAGTGCAGTTTCAGAGAGTAGTGTTTTTCAGAAGCAAATTATTGTATTTTTGTTGTATGTTCATTCAATTGGCTGATGGCATTTAAGGTTACTAATAAACTTTTCGCCATAGGCAGCACGTGTTTGTGTGCATGTTTCTGCTCCCTCACCACTGCCAAGTCTCATGAGAAGCACGTCTTGCAGCCTCCTGTTGAAGTCCCTCAGTTCTTTGACTTCTGTCAGCAAGCTGCCATATTCCTTCAGCTTCTTGGCCTGCTGCACCAGCTGCCTGCGAGTTCTCTCCAGCTCCTGCTGCAGCCTCCTCATCTCCTCCTCCTGTTGCCTATAGCTATGAACCAGCTCCTCGTACAGGACTCTAGGAACCACCGCTGCAGCTACCCCAGACACACAATCCGTGTCCACCTCCAAATGCTGTTGCTGCTGCTGGTGATGGTGATGGTGTTGCTGATGCTCTGCCTCCATATCTTCATCTTCGTCATCTGCATCCTCTCCCTCTTCCAGCCGGTCCTCATCCAGATCCTCTTCACCATCCATACAGGAGCTGGCTGCATTTCTCTCCAGGCGAGCCACAACTGCTGCCAGGCTCTTGGAGGAGTTTGAAATGGGGCGCCCATGGTCCTGAGATAGGGCCTTAAGAAAAAAAGGAACTTTCAAACTAGGTAACACAAGGTCCATGAAAATAATACCAATATCAAGACGTTCAAGGAATAAGACATGATGAAAGGTTACCATGGTTATGGGGGTGGGCCTGATAAAATAATTCAGAAATCTCTTAATGCATCAGTCTGACACGAAGACCAGACCGTAAACAGTTTGTTTTGACCATGTGGATCTCAGTGGTAACTGGGGAGAGTGGAGTCACAGAGTTCTTTGATGAGCCGCTCAGAGGATTTGTCTGTGAAAGGGCAGCTGTCCAGAGTGCTGAATTTGTGTTAATCCAGCATATGGTAAAAATAGCGTGGGGGATTTTGGATGTCAGCCAAGTTTATGAAAATGTGACATTGTCTCATCAATAGATCCATCTTAATGTAAGACTGTAGCAGTGTATGTGTCAACAGCACAGGTACTTGTTGATATTACCTTTTTTATGAATTACAATTAATTGTTCGATTATATTAGGAGTTCTCCCTGACATGACACATGATTGTCGCCATGTAATTTGAGAGGAATACATTTTTAACTTATTTTGTAATTAGAAATGACTGAAGGTAATCTGTGGACCCGATGTTAAAACCTTGCAGCTCGTAATTAGTTTGAATGCAGCTTTGAACTCTTATCAAACAGTGCCATCAATCATTGAGCATCGTATTTGAATTAACAAGTGGAGGTGTGACTGTCACAACACACGGTGACAGGAAGTGAAAGCACAAGTTGAAGAGAAATGTCCAAACTGGTTATTGTGTCTCATTAAAGGTGAGCCTACCTTTTTATGTCTGAGTGGCATTCTCTCCTCCCCAAAACTGTTCTCTATAGAGTTTCCTGTATTCTTCATGGACATCTTGGGAATTTTCATCTTCTTTTGCATTATACTGTCTTCAAACTCCTCTACTGTATCTGTTAAGTGCAAAAAAAGAAAGAAAAAGAGTGTAAAAACTCGTGAAAATGTCCGAAAAGTCAGATGGGTTTTCAGGCAATGTGAAATCACCTACATGCTTTCATCCATTTGTCAAACCCGGGTGGATGGGGTTTTGTCTCTCCATTGTGCCAGATGAAACTTACTTTAGCATTCTTAGCTTAGCTGGAACTAATATTTTTAGCTTTACAGCGGACTGACAGACAACACGTCCTCACTACACTGCGCTTCAACATCACTGCGGTTATGAAGGTGTCACATCGCAGCGATCTTGCAGACCAGACAGCTCAGGTCCAGGGATTAGTGATTTACCGAGTTAAAGATCGAGCATAAAACCCGACCGGGAGCAAATATGACCGTCATTAAATCGCACACTTCAGGTCATGAACATGATGCGTTGTTACCAAAATAGCCACGACGTTGACATGTTACAGACGGTCTACTAAATGCTGTCTGCATCAATGTATGAGACACGGTGAAGACTGCAGCACGCATCCCGTCTTTCACACAAAACCTTCACGTAAGCAAGCTAACAAGCTAACCCGACCACAGCTAAACGTCTCGGCTACGGTTAAAACCTCTGCAAAAAAAACAAAACAAACAAAAAAAAACGATAACATTTCATCCACAGGTTGTCACATGTGTTCACTGTGTGATGACAGCGTTACGTCTGCACGCAGTACACTGGCATGTCAGCGCTAACATGCTAACGCGGAGCGAATACACACCGAGCTAGCTTCACGTTAGCTTCACGTTGTAAACAACCATGGAGACTGGCTAACGATACATGCCACGTATTTAACTTGACAACCAGCGCTACCCTTCAGTGACAAGAGAGATTAGTCTCGGAAGAGCACGGCTGGGATGTAAAAGCCTGAAAAGCAATGACATGAAGGTATGACTGCATACGAAACTTATCTTAGCATATCTAACTAGCATGTGTCGCTAGCCACAGCCGAGGACGTTGTTGTGGCTATCAGTGTCAGATTCCAGCTGATCACTTCTTGACAGATCGGACGAAACGACTTGCTTTGACATGTTTCAGAGTTTCGCGCACGTCGTCGGTGCTTAATCAGACAGAGAAAAACAGCATTTAAAAGACAAAAGGTGATATGTTAATAGGACAACTTACCTGCAAGGGCAAGGATCTGTGCTTCGCACGGCTGGCCTGCGCTGCCATTCTCTTCAGTTCTGTGAACCAGATACACCTTCTGATTATCAAAATCTGTTTTGTGCAGAGGACTGAAATCTTCGACATTTGAAACGGGCAACGCGTAGCACATATCGTCTTCAAAGAATCTAACAAAAGCATACATTATTTACTTCTCTTTGGTCCTGCACTTTGGATATGGTTGACAGTTTTTCCTCACAAAGTATTAAAAAAAAAATATATACACATAAGGGGGGGTTGGGGGATGTGTGTCTGCGCTCGGCTACTCTTGCCTGGTCCACATCACCAGGGAAGATCATCAAGGCATAAGTAATAGACATGACATTAACTTACTCAGATGAAGAAGCATTAGAAATACAATCGTTTTGGTATATTTGTGGTAAAAAAAAATATTTAAAAAAATTTCCATCGCACCTGTAATGTAATTAAAACATTGTAAAGGGCTTAAAAAATGGATTTAAACCTTAAAGTACAAGTTTTTTTTAAAGCAAACAAAATCAAAATACTGAAAAACACAGAACATTTTTTGGCAAATATTTGTTTGTCAATACAAGCATGTAAATTTCAGTTGTCCTCTTTTTCCCCTCATATCACTCTATACACCTTTTACTCCAAATAGTAAAAGGAATGGTTTCCATTAACGACAATGAGCAAAGACACCAGGATGATTGCCTGCCTGTTTAGATTTCATTGGTCTCTCTTTGCTGTGATGTGTTTCCTGGTGTATTCTTTTCCTCTGCCCCTTGTAGCACAACAGAAAGATTTAGGGCCAGCTAAAAGAAATGAACTCTTTGTTATTGTAAGACAGCCAGGTGGTTATACAACAGGATGGATTTATCTCAGTTGTTACTCTAATGGAGAGCACCACAGTCGATAAATGACACTAACAATTTTGTTCTGCTTCGGCTGCCGTAATTGAAAAGTAACTGATGCAGAACTATATAGAGCTCTTTTTCTTCTCTGATATTTCGTTTCATAGTTGCAGGCATTTAGTTAGTTATGATTACGCCTGTTTCAAATGCCAGCTTCCCCGTGATGTTTGTTCACTGTGCTGTGTGACCGACTCAGAGTCTAGTAGATGTATACAAGAGAAAAACAAACAAACAGAGCGATGACAATAACCTCTCAGAACATAATGGCAGTCATTTTATTTCAGTTACTGAAACAGTGTTTATCGGCTGTTTTCAATGGAAGTGAGTGGTTCCCTCTGCAAGCTATGCTATGCTATTCAGAGACTTCACTTTTCTTTGAAGAAGCAGCAAGTTAAACTATCAAAATTTGACCTTCATTTCAAACTTAAACAAGTTGTTTTTTTATCACAACTTGTCAATTAATGGGATTCTTGAGGTGAGGATTTGTTCTATTTAAGGTTAAGCCATGTTCATATCATGGCAGATCGCACAAACTACAACCAAAGTGAGAGTGATCGACGAGAGATTTAAGTAGCTTCTCAACAAGTCAAATAGAGGATTACTTCTAATCTTAAAGCTTCTGTTCAATGACTCTCCTGTCTTCAAGGCTGGGCTTTTAATCATAAGGTTGCTTGGATTCAGTCTTTGAAGTGGACAATGTTCTAATGGGGACACTACTATATTTATTAGTCTTCTAGTCTCATATTAACTTGAAACAACTATACCCGGAGTTTGGAGACATAATATTAATCAAGCTTCCAATTTATTTAATTTTACAAACTCTAGTTGTGACTTTTAGTAAAGTAAATCTTTCTTCTAAAGTGAAAAATGTGTATGGGCTGTGAGGATGACTAGTGGCTGTATTGCAGAAGTTATCTACATAGATTTAGATTTTATTTGGATTATCTACTCTATAGTATACTCATGTATCAAAGAGAAGATAGTGAAAATGACCTTTCTGTAACTAAAAGTGCTTGAAATAATGCTCCTTAAATAATAGTTAATTGTTATTTATTACAAGTATTTAGAACACATCTGTCATTTATCTCATAAATCCAATCAGCCTTATAAAAGAAGTTTCTCAAGCACAAAAAAAATCCATTCTGAGTTGTCACAAACTTTTGGCATACTAATAAGCTGAAGATAAAGTGATGAATTGAAGCTGAAGGAATAACTCGTTATAATATTTAAGCAATGGTTTATCTATGAGGACAGTTGATCGAGCAAAGACTAGAGTCAGGACAGAAGCCAGACATCATGTCCTGCCTATTAGCTCCACACTGCCAGGCTCATCTATCTTTATTGGTCATCCATTAGCCTGCATTAAAGGGAGACACAGGATAATAGCAGTAATGATGCTGATGATGGAATTAGACTGCGGGTACACACGTCATCATTGCAGTGTCACACCGGGAATCATAAAGAGTTCCCACTGACAGACGGACAGATGGACACACATATTAAATAAACGGCCCTTTTATGACTGGGATCAGTTTCGGTGTGTAAATATGTGTGGCAAACAAATATATTGAGAGAAAAAAATAACAAGATGAGGTCGCAATTTAGGTGAAAAATGTCTACGGTGCTCAGAGGGGTGTAAATACACTTTAAGGCACGTGACCAACCAATCAAGAGGCGGCACCTGTGCCAATCTGCTGGAAGGACAGATGCCGGTACAGGTGTGTGCGTGATGATGGTTGGCAGGGACACCAGATCAGGCAAAAAGACGAAACCAGACATTAGACAGCCGGGATGGAGGGATCATGAAAGCAACTTTGTGGAGAGACGCTCAAAGATTAAGAGAGGCACCGAGCAAAATGAAGATATGGGTGTCTGGTTCCAAGATGACGGAATCAGAGAAGCGTTTACGTCTTCCATGGGCAACACGCTACCACGATCAATCACAACTGTTTACAATCTGCAGCTGAAACCGCTTCCTATTTTGGTTGCAGGCATCTCACCAGTACTTCTCCTATTATGGCTCTTAATTAGCTCCGCATGAGCTACTAATCAAGCATGAAGAAGGCATTCACCAATTTAAAAAGTGATAGTCCATGAAATGAACAGCACAGCCTCGAACAAGCACATCACTTGCTAAAGCCTGCAGGGCCTAAAAGCAGACCTTTGACAGAAAGACACGCTGAAGAAAAAGAACCACAGACATGGGGCACACAAACACACACAGAGTTATTGTGAATAAACCACTCATTAAGTATTTTTTAAACGTATCAGTGATGGTCCTGCCACCACGCTGTTTTTATTCAGTGATCCACACAGAAGTCATTGATCTTCTTCATAAGAAACATAATGACCACCAGAGAAATCCTGATAAAATTTCAGCACCAGTCAATTCAGTTCATTAGGCCCACTCTACCTCCTGCTGTGGCCCTGTATTGATCTTGCCAGTGTCGCCAGATTGTTACTCTGCGCTAACTAGATGGGGAACTCACAAAAATGTAATTCAAAACAGAGACAACTCAAATAGAAGACAATGGAGGGGAAAAATAAGCAAAATATCTCAGAAGAAATACTGCCCCGTCGATATGAAAGGACAGTCTGTCTCGGTGCCCTCTCAGCATCAGCATCAAATGTCAGACACGACAGAAGAAATTCTAAAAGTATCAAGGCTGTCCCCAGGTTTCAGAGAGATTTTTTCTTATGCCTTTAATACCTTTTTCCACCGTCTCCCCTCCTCTAATCTCCACTTATCTGGCAGCCAGGTGAGCTGCAGCACATGGCTGGTGGGCAGGCTTTGGTCTGTGGGAATACAGCTCATCTTAATGGTATTTCTCCCCCCTTTTCCTACTCTTACCCTTTTCCTCTAGGGCGGCTGTCAGACAGAGACCGAGGCAGCCAGAGAAGTTCTTGGTGCTACTATAGCTGACAGCAGGGGGGGGGGGGTTGCCGTGATTGGACGAGCGACCACAGACGCCCGTCATGCAGAGAGGGGCAGCCGGGCTCACAGGTGCACAGCATCTGACAGATAATAGCAGATAAAATGCGGGCTAACCTGCAGCTTGCTCCTCGCTAAGGGAGGGGAAACCTGTGGTGGTGGGTGTGTGAGTTGGACGAGGAGGGGGCAGGGACATGTTGAGGGGCTCTGACAACTAACAGCCTTTACTTAACCACACACCAGCCAGAAAAGACACATATTCACACACAAACACAGGAGTCAAGGACAGACAAGGTCACAATCCCAAATCCCTCCACCGAATCTCTCCTGCAGCTTACTGTACACTTGGAAGAGGTTAAGATTGATTTGGGGCTTAATACAAAGTGTTTGCGCAGCTGTTGTGTCTGAAAAAACACATCAAAACCCAGCAGTCGTCTTATTAGCTTTTTTTTTCTCTTCGCTGTTTCTTGCTGCTCTTTTATTACCCTTGTATTAATTCCAGTTGAAAGAGCTGTGAGTCTCCCAAGTACAATAAAATGTGTTTATTGCACTGAGCTTTTTCACTTGTGTCTTCATTTTATTTCATGTTTTTATTCATTTCCAAATCTGCTTTTCAACTTAGCAAGCATAAATGCAACCACTATTTCATCTGTTCAAGATATATAAACATTGACCAAACTTATTTACATCTGAAGTAAAAGAAAAATGACGGAACATTTGTCTGCTGTCATTTCACCTTATGTTAATTATCTCAAATCTTCCTGGCACTAACTGGCCAGGTTGCTTGCTACACTCCACACATAGAATACATTGTAAAAAATATAGAATCACAACATCTCCCGTCCTGTCTTTCAACAGGACACGCATACACCCCCTGTGTAAAAGTATGCCACATGTCATGCATCTCCTCTGCCTGTCCAGATGCAGGATGCCAGCTGATGTGACGATGGGAAACAGTCTGTGTCTCACTGCTGAAACACATTAAGTTCTGTGGAGGAGAAAACAGTCAGGACGAATCTGGCAATCAGCTGCAGTGTGGCCTGAGACACACAACCTGACAACTTCTGTTCTCTCTGGGCTGCTTGCAACAAAGAGACAGGCAGGCAGGAGGGGGGTTAAAGGTGCTTTTTTTTTTACTGTCCCAAATATTAACTCACTACATTTGCAGGAGTCTTCTGAAGCTTTCAGGAGAAACACTGAAGCTGCCGACCCACCAGTGAAAGCAGAGCAATTAAAGGCAGAGTATCCCTACAGAAATCAATAAAGTCTATAATGTTTTTTTTATACATAAAGGACTCTGCTTGAGCATATGTGCTCTAGAAACAGATCTGACAGAAGGAGGCACAGACTGAGAAAAGGTAGATAATGACCTTGACCTTGGCAGTGGGTAACTACTGGCAACACATAAACCTGCATTAAATATTCTCATAAGAGCAATTTGGCAGAATGGCA